TTCTTGATAGCATGATGGAAAGAGCATTTCAGAAAATTATGCTCACAAAGAAAAAAAGAAGACTTCTATGTCTTTTTTGGTAAATAAGTAGAAAGATTCAACATGTTTAGTAATTTTCCCAAGAGGTGACAACCAGAACATGCAATAAAACTTTGACATTTATAATGACTTGAAATACAGGTTTTGCTAACATGCAATCTTGATTGCACTTTGGCTCAGTTTAGGAAGAGTGCAAATGCAAATGTGTTTGGTGCAAAACCTTATATATGGTATTTCTAAACCTTGTATTTGCACTCTTTCCAAACTAAGTTGATGTAACCGTTTCCGGTCACGTATCATTTTTTTGGCTACGTACCTCGTCACCTCATCTGCTCCCAAGTGGCCAACAACTCAGGGGCTGAAGTGGAGCTCCCTAGCGTAGTGCAACCCAGCTACTCCCTGCTGGAAGCGATCTGCTCACCTTTGTAGACGACGATAACTGAGGAATTCATCCTCCCTACAGGAGATGATCTGGCTACCAGCAAGAACTAAATCAGAGAACCCGAGGGTGTTTACCCAGCGAGGTCACTCCAATGGCTAAGTCAGCACTTAGTAGCGAGCTGAGAATGATATTAGAGAATGAGAGAGCTAGAGAGCAGGGGTTACCACCTCTTTTTTTTCATCCCTTCGCCCCTGGGGGGTGAGGCCTTTATATACTAGAGTCCTCGTGGGTTTGGTGGAGCATTTCCTGGATTCCCGCTGTGATGGGACCTGTTTTCGTGTTAGGTGGGGATAAAGCCACCAATCGGTAAGGTTGCCCATTTCCGCCTAAATCGGGGAGTGGGTGAGCTAATATAGCCGTTACAAGTCACAATCCCGTAAAATGCAGGGTACAGTGGTGAGCTCCTTGGGGTTGTCATGCGGTGGTCGGTCTGACTAAGAGGCGAGCTGCCCGTAAGTGGCGAGCTGCTTAGTGGCAAGCTGCCTAGTGGCGAGCTGCTTAGTGGCGAGTTGCCTGTGCAGTGCCGAGTTGTCTAAGTTGCGAGGCTATAAGAGGGTGAGCTTCATACGGCAAGCTGCCTGTGGCGAGCTGCCCGTGGCGAGCTGCCTGTGGCGAGCTACCTATGGCAAGTTGCCTGTGGCGAGCTGCCCTGTGGCGAGCTGCCTATGGCAAGCTGCCTGTGAGTGCTGTATGGTGGCGAGCTGCCTAGTGGCGAGCTGCCTGTGAGTGGCGAGCTGCCTATAAGTGGCAAGCTGCCTAGTTGTCACGAGGTGCCAGGTGTCACAATGTCACTGGAGGGCCAAAATCCGCCCTCATCATTTGCCCCCAACTCCCGAGCTGAAAGTAACTCAGCGAAGGGAGTAGACTTCTCCTTTTTGGCTCGTAATTCGACGAGCTAGTAGGCGTTGATTTAATTTCTTAGGCTCTGGGAGCTGCTTGGAAGCGAGCTGCTCGTAAGGCATTGAGGTTTCTACCAGTTCGGTACTTTAGCCCTTAAGACTCTGGGAGCGACTTGTAGTCCTTTCTCCTTGACCTTGCCCATGCCAACGAGGTGGATGGGTCTTGTGCAGTATTGTAGCCCTTAGGCTTCGGGGAGCAATCGTAGTCCACTCCTGAACTTTGCCCATGCCGAAGAGGCGAATGGGTCTTATGCAGTAGTATTGTAGCTCGTAGGCTTTGGGGAGCGACTCATAGTCCNAGAGGCGAATGGGTCTTATGCAGTAGTATTGTAGCTCGTAGGCTTTGGGGAGCGACTCATAGTCCACTCCTGAACTTTGCCCATGCCGAAGAGGCAACTGGGTCTTAAGCAGTATTGTGGCCCTTAGGCTTTGGGAGCGACTCATAGTCCACTCCTGAACTTTGCCCATGCCGAAGAGGCAACTGGGTCTTATGCAGCAGTACTGTAGCCCGTAGGCTTTGGGGAGCAACTCATAGTCCACTCCTGAACTTTGTCCATGCCGAAGAGGCGACTGGGTCTTATGCAGCAGTATTGTAGCCCGTAGGCTTTGGGGAGCGACTCATAGTCCACTCTTGAACTTTGCCCATGCCGAAGAGGCGACTGGGTCTTATGCAGTGGCAAGCTGCTTGTGAGGTGCCAAGCTGCCTTGGTGCCGAGCTGCCTATGAGGTGCCGAGCTGACCAGGTGCCAAGCTGCCTGTTCGGTGCTACATGGTGGTGCGCTACCAGTTCGGTACTTTAGCCCTTAGGCTCTGGGAGCGACACGTAGTCCACTCCTTGACTTTGCCCATGCCGACGAGGCGACTGGGACTTAGCTTTCTGGCAGAAGAGGACTTAGCTTTTCGTAGCATGTCCCCATAGACGGCGCCAATTGATGTAACCGTTTTCGGTCACGTATCATTTTTTTGGCTAGGTACCTCCTCACCTCGTCTGCTCCCAAGTGGCCGACGACTCAAGGGCTGAAGTGGAGCTCCCTAGCATAGTGCAACCCGGCTGCTCCCTGCTAGAGGCGATCTGCTCATCTTTGTAGACGACGAGAACTGAGGAACTCATCCTCCCTACAGGAGATGATCTGGCTACTAGCAACGACGGGAGCTGAGGAACCTGCAGGAACTAAATCAGAGAACCCAGGGGTGTTTATCGGGCAAGGTCACTCCGATGGTTAAGTCAGCACTTAGTAGCGAGCTGAGAATGATATTAGAGAATGAGAGAGCTAGAGAGCACGGGTTACCACCTCTTTTTTTTCATCCCTTCACCCCTGGGGGGTGAGGCCTTTATATACTGGAGTCCTCGTGGGTTTGGTGGAGCAGTTCCTGGATTCCCGTTGTGATGGGACCTGTTTTCGTGTTAGGTGGGGATAAAGCCATCAACCGGTAAGGTTGCCCATTTCCGCCTAAATCGGGGAGTGGGTGAGCTAATATAGCCATTATAAGTCACAATCCCGTAAAATGAGGGGTACGGTGGTGATCCCCTCGGGGTTGTCATGTGGTGGTCGGTCTGACTAGGAGGCGAGTTGCCCGTAAGTGGCGAGCTGCCTGGTGGCGAGCTACTTAGTGGCGAGCTGTCTAGTGGCAAGTTGCTTAGTGGCGAGCTGCCTAGTGGCAAGCTGCCTGTGCAGTGCCGAGTTGTCTAAGTTGCAAACCTATAAGAGGGTGAGCTGCCTGTGGCGAGCTTCCCGTGGCGAGCTGCCTGTGGCGAGCTGCCCTGTGGCGAGCTACCTGAGGCGAGCTGCCTGTGGCGAGCTGCCTGTGAGTGCTGTATGGTGGCGAGCTACCTGTGAGTGGCGAGCTGCCTAGTTGTCACAAGGCTGCACCTAGTTGTCACGAGGTGCCAGGTGTCACAATGTCACTGGAGGGCCAAAATCCACCCTCATCATAAGTCATTGGTACTATATATGCTAATTGTTATAATATATAGCCACACCATACCTAGAAGAAGAAATAACTAACTTCCAGCTATGCAAGTAATTACATTTAATATTTTATCATAAAAGGAAAAGAAACAAAAATAACAAAACAGAAAATGCAATGAATGAATTTAGAGTATGGTAATTAAGACCTCAAAATACATTGATGTTTGGCAGTCCTTGTTAGGCATTACACAAGTTCAATTTCTAATTGAATATTACTTTAATAATATTGTTAAAATTTTGATGGAACCTTGTATAGGTTTCCCTTCCTTTCCATACCTTTTCTTTCAAACCAAACACAGCCTAAGTGGAAATGTACCAATTTACCAAAATTTGTGTTGAATGTTGACAAAACAAGCACATATTAATTTAGCAGATCTGGCACATATTACATAGCCACACATAACTTGTGTTTTATAGGACACAGGTACTTTGGGCAAACTGAAGGGTCCAGCCATCATAGCTTATGGCTGAGTGCCTGTTTGGGTGGGCTTAAGTGCAGCAGCTTCTGGGTGTCCAATGTGCAGGGCCCACACGGTCAACCTATAAGATCTGTTTAGTGAAAATTTTGGAGAGTCAAATTGGCTGTCGATCAGCCAGTTGAAGGGTTGTCCGCTTCATGCTGTAGAACAGGTTATCCGAGTGCCTTGCCAAGATTATCTGACTTCTTAGGTAGCTAAGTCAGTTCACTCAGTTTGTCAACAAACATAGCTTGTGTTATTTATGCAGCTCTTAACAAAAGCACCATCTTCAAAGCAGCTGAATCAGCTTAGCCGAACCAAAGATTATCTTCAACTCAGCCCTCCCAAACAGGCCCTGAGAGGTCCAGTTATAATAGATTGTAGTTTATACATTAGTGTTACAAAGAACCAAAAGAATATGGCTGACGTAGTTGCAATATTATGTTATGAAAATTTTACCAGGTAAAAACTCCAAGACCTTCTCATCATCTAAAGAAAGTAATCTCAAATAGATCGACTTCTTTAGATAGCTCCATGAAGCACACCAAAAAAAAATGTACAACCCCATGAAGAAAAAAAGACGATCAAGGAACAAAATGAAAAATCATTTACAAGGGTATTTTAGTCAACTCAAGTAACTGCAAACGGCTATAGATATGCTTCATAAAGATAGCATCATACAAAACTTGTTCAAATTCCCTTGTAACCATGTGATCAAGAAACTAGACCAACATCAGTAACCAGGAGGTTTAGTCAATTCTCCGTCTCTTTACCAATACAAAGTATCTATAGCTTATTCAGATAGAAGTTTGAACATGAACAAACATGCAAGCCTTGTTTTTCTCAAGTAATCACATCCAGTTTCTCTAGCATTCGATGAGTAGTAGTAGTAGTAGTAAATAGAACCAATGAAGTAAAAGCAGCATTATCAAGGTAAAAAAGTCAGACAAACCCAGTCAAAAAGCTTAATCACTTTATCAACAATCATGATATCTAATACAACTTAATCAACGCATTCAGAATTCAATCTACCTGAATCTCATACCCAGAATTCCAAATCTGGTTTGTATTGAAAATAAGCACAAGATAAATAAGCAACGATTCAAATAATCAAAGATTTTACACTTTCCTAAGCTCAAACCCTAAAATTCCAACAAGTTTCAAGAAAATGAGCTGAAAAGGGTAAAATCACCTTATCCTTCTGCCCAGTCCACCGCACTTTAACCTCCGTAATCCAGCCAGCGGACAGCCAGCTTGGCTACTCATCCACAGCCATCTCACCGATATCTGACGTTTTCCGGCTATAATCACCGGGAAATATTACTCCTTTCCCCGAGGATCTACAATTCGTAAGCTCACCCACTTCTTTTCTCTGTCTCACTCTCTCTTCCCCCAGCTCCCTCAGTCGTTACTCAACCTCTATATGAGGTAATTCGACAGTCAAACGGAAGCTCACCCCCAATCAGACGAACAAAACCACGTGTTTCGAAACCCAGAGCTGCGAGTTGAGACCCGCGAAACGTGTCGAAAACTCGAAATTAAAAAAAAAAAAAAAAAAAAAAAAAACGTGCTTTGTTTCCTTTTCCTGTTTTCTATCTCGTACTCTCTCTATCTCTCTCCGGTGGGGGGAGTCCTTCAGCTTCAGGCAGGTAACAACGGGGGAGCCGACCAGCGAGTTGTTTGTTGGGCGATGTGTGGAGTTTGGGAATTGGGGTCCTCAGTCCGATTTCGTACAGTTGAATTGAAAGAAATGGTTTTGTTTTTTTTTTTTATTCATTTATTATATTAAAGAAATACCAGTAAAGAACCAAAGATGTGAGAACTGTGGAATGACGTTAGTAGCCCCTGAACCTTTTTGCAGAAGAATTGAGGTCTAGATTTCTGTTCTGCTTTCTAATAAAAAAAACAGATTTCGGTTCTGCTTTGGATAGATACTGGATGGAGACTGTTGGCGCACTCGTGACTCGTGAGACACTCAACACTGATGAATGATGATTGTGCACGGCCACCCCCGTCTTCACATCCCTCTTTTTTATATTTTTTGTAATCGTAAGTTTCTTCCATCTTAATTTTTATTTTTTTTTTATCTCTATCGAAAAAAATCTTTACTTTTTGCTGGTAGGATCTGACCTTATCGACCAGTTAATGAATCATCCGATGAGGTTTCTGTTTTCTGATTTGTTTTTCTTTTTACAGTCAAACCTATTACTTGCAAGAAAACAAAGCGTTGATTTATAGCTTCTACTGAATAATACAGGACATCTAATTGCTGATTGCATAAGCTTCAGCGTTTTATAAGGAAAATTCATTTGGACATTATCGGCGTTAAAAATTGGGATACATCTAAGAATAGTTTTCAAAACCGGATCAGTCAGTTCCGTTTTACCCCATAACCGTTATTTTCTTAAAAATCATTGATTTGGTCAACAAATTGTTGACTTGGATGGTCGAACCATTCAAACCGTTCAACAGTTTGGCCGGTTTTTTTTTTAATTTTTTAAACTTTTTTTGATTTTTGGCAAAACAGGCCGTCCATTCGGTTCAAAGGTTGGATTGTTCGACTGGGGAACCAGACCCCCTAACCAGTTCGTTGTCCGGTTCAATTTTAAAAACTTGCATCGAAGGTTCAAAATATTGATACGATATATCAGGCAGTATCAATAGTCTTTTTAGTTTTTTTGTAAATCCAATTTAAAAGGGTTGGTTTAAAATCCGTCCACCCCTAAACTGGTCAAAATCCCAATACCCCCTCTGTAGGGGCATATCAGGATATTTTGAACCTTGGATACATCATGCATATAATAATTAAAAATAGTAAAGAAGTTGCCATTGATACCGGTTAGCCTATCCAATATCCATGTTTGGGTTAATTAGTACTTTTCATAGTCCGAGCTAACTGCTCAATTAAAGGTTTTGTGTTCGATAGAGCATTAGTTGTACTAATAATATAAAAGTTTTCTTTTATATTTCATTTACAATATTAATAAAGGTGTTAAGTGTGCAGCTATATTCATTGAGTTAAAAATGTCTAACAAATTACTATAAAGAAATAAGTATGGATAAATTGTATAAGTAGCTATCAACAAACATTTATCAACTTGCAACTCTCTGAAGTATGCCACAACTCTCCATAGAATAAGTATATTACCAATAGGCGAAAGAAAAAAGCATTAAAGTCCAAGTGGTTTATATTGTTCTACATTCTTTTAAGTTTTAGGACTTGGTGTAAATCATGTGTAAGATGCACGTTTTGGGTTATAACTTGACCAATCTCAGTTAACCTAAACCCCATAAACCAATGGATAATATTAAATCTATCTTTTAGGTGTTTCTAAACTCAAAAGTAATTAACCTAAGTTTTGAAGCCTAAATAAACATATTTTGAACCTTCAAAATAGAAATATCTAAATTTCTAAGGTTGTGAATAGTGAGTAGTCAACTACTCATTATCTATAGTCAACTACCCATGACAACCAAGGCTAGTGTTTGTAAAAACATTGATTAGTAGTCGATTACAACAAAATGATGAGTCAGGGACCTACCTAGTTAGGTTGGACTGAATCGAACCAAACCAGCCTAGTTGGGTTCGAACTACCTAGTTGGTCCAGTTCAAATTCAAGTTGTTTGGCCAATTGAACTGACCTAGTTAGGTTGGACAAGTTGGTCACCTGAAACCAATTAGCCATTATTGAAAATCGGCCAACTCAGGTTGTATCAATTTGAGTTAGTTAGTTCAAAAGATTTAAATTTAAAGTTAAAAAGTTATAATGGATTAATTAAAATTTATAATACAAAATACTTTAAACTAGGAAATATAGGAAAATTTTCCACTTTCTCATAATAAAATTTTAAATTTTAAAATATAATATATTTATGGTCAAGTTGGTTCAATTTTGGTTAATTTACAAATTGTCAAACTGAAACTAACCCAACCTCTCAAGTTAGCATAATAGTTGAACCGTAACTGATCGAAAAATACTAAAAAGTAACATATTCAAGTCAAGTTGAGTTAGGTTGGTTGGTTGGTTTCATCGATTTGATGAACAACCCTTTTGGGTATAAATTGCCAAACTGAAACTAACCCAACCTCTCAAGTTAGCATAATAGTTGAATCGTAACTGATTGAAAAATACTAAAAAGTAACATATTCAAGTCAAGTTGGGTTAGGTTGGTTGGTTTCATCAATTTGATGAACAACCCTTTTGGGTATAAACTTCTAGTCAACTATCAAAAGGAAGTAGTCAACTATTAGAGAAAAAAGATTCATTCCTATAATTGGTAGTTGACTACTAGGTTTTTTATCAGAAAATGGCATAATGACAATGTAAGTGGTTTTTAAGTCTTTGGCTAGCATACTAGCCATGTTCCTAGAACTTCATTAAAATGATCCAAGGAAGTTTGATTCTTTTGGGATCTTCATAAAGATAAGAGAGGTTTTCTAATTTAGCCTACTCCATCACCACTATATAATTAATGTCTTCAATTAGAAAGAAAAAAGACCAAATAAATTAAAATTAAGAATCTATTGGTCAGGGAAAAAAGAGAATGATAATTTCACCCAAAATATTAATAGAATGAGAAAACAAAATAAATAACGAAAAATTAACAGAAAAATAATCAACTTCATGAAATAGATCAAGATTGATATTAAACTCTCATTTCATTCTCTAATAATGCATATTTTAGTAAATACGACTAGTATAGAAGAGAATCAATTAGGGTTGTCCATGGGTCGGTTTGGTCGGTTATACAATATTTTGGCAACCGAATTGAACATTTTGGGTTGGCTATTATGCCAACTGAAGCTGACCGACAAGTAGCATAAATCGATTTGTAAAAATTCTGTAAGGTGCTTAGTTTGGTCGGTCTAAACCGAATAGAGATCTCCATTAATATATTCTAACTTTGGATACTTTTTTCTTATACTTTTGCAGTTTCTCGTAAGATGTACCTTAGTGTTCTGTTGGAAATGATATAAAAAAATTAAAAATAAAATCATTATGAATCCTAGAGTTATAGGTTTAAGACAATTGTTATGATAACAATCATCATTGAAAATTTTGAATATTTTTATTCAAATATTAAAATAAAACTTAATGAAATGGTAGGTCATGGGGGTAGGGCTAAAATAAGCCTAGGGGGTAGAGGCTAAGTTGTAGACACAACAGAAAGTGATAGGTCATTTCATTGTAAAAAGTGGTTTACAAGAAAGTGGAACATTTCTTATATGAGAAAAAAAGATCACTTTTTTAACAACTATACTATATCACACTATATATAGTCGTTCGGGTTAGTTTTACTCAGTTTATAAATTCATAAACTGCAACCCAAACTGATCAGTCGGTTTATCTATATTTTTAAACCAAAGTTGACTGAAAATTTAAGAAAACTGATCAACTCGGATCGAGTTGGGTCAGATTGGTCAGTTTCACCCAATTCATGAACAACCCTAGAATCAATCTAATACACCTATTGTTGATAATCAATTTCAACCTACTACACCTATTGATGCTAATGGCTCCATAGTCAACCCTTAATATTTATCATCAATGGGTGATGATTCTACAACTCCAACATTAAGCTCCATCTATTCAACTCAACTAATAGATGATGTTACTAGTAATGATGAACCAAAGCAACCAAGGTTGGTTCCACAAGTGTGAAATATTTCAAGAAAGAAAATGTTAATGGTTTATAGAGGGCAATATATAATAATTGCCATAAGGCATTTGGTGTTGAAAACAAACATGAGACAAGTCACTTGAATATCATATTAAGATGCATTGTCTTAAATGAAAATAAGCAAATCTTCAACAAATGATCTTAATTAGAAATATGAAATCATATGGGAATGTGAAGTTGGAACATATACAATTGACTAAGAAGTGTCAAGACAAGTGCTTTTAAAAATGATAATCATACATGAATATCCATTGTCCATGATGGACCATGATGGTTTTTAGAGTTATTTGACTAGCTTTTAACCATTGTTTAAAACTCATTGACAAAACACAATAAAGAGTGATATCATGAGATTGTATAAAGAAAAAATGGCAAAAATGATGGAGATTGATGAAAATAAAGGTAAAATTTTTATTACTACTAATATGTGGACCACAGAACATAAAAAAGGGTATTTTGCTATTATAGGACATTACATTGATGATTCTAAGACCATACAAAAGCAAATCAAAAGGTAACCATAGTTATTTTATTTTTAATTATTTCTTTTATTTTACTAAAATGTTTGTTTTTTAATTATTTTTTTTATCATAGGTTTTGTTATGTACTAGCTCCATACACAAAGGATGTTATTATTAAAATCTTGATGAATTATTTTATTGAATAAACCATTAATAAAAAATTTGCACACACACTTTGGATAATTGTTTTACTAACGATGGAATGCTAGAAAATATAATAGAGATACTTTCTAATAGCCCCCTCTTATTGATACATTTTTTTTCCATATGAGGTGTTATGCACATATTTTAAACTTGATCGTACAAAATGGGTTAGAAATGATTATTGAAGATGTTATAGAAAAAGTGTGAGAGAATGTTATATATTAGATAATTACACCAAAAGGAATGCAAATGTTTTAACATCATGCTAAACAAATATGTATTGCACTTACAAAAAAATTGTCTCTTAATATTAAGACGTGATGAAATTTTATATACATGATGTTTAAGGCTGACTTATTTTACTCCAAATGTTTTTGAACGATTGATAAACACTGTAAGA